CCCCTCCCCCTTCCCCGAATTTCCTATCCCCTTCCCCTGTGCCCGTTAACTTAGTGGTCCTACTAATCATTCATTTATTTATTTTCTTTGATTTCCTTCTCAGTTACATTTTAGTGATAAGCCTGACCGTGCTCTCCCTTGCGCCCTGTCCCGTTTTAATTTAGGATCCTCCTGGGATCCTTGCCAATGGTTCTTGTTCCTGGGTCGTGTGGGGGTTGCGTTCATTGAACGTCGCCTTTCCTTGTTCATCTTGTTTATCATCGATATTGTATACATGTATACCGAACCGTAGCAGATAATGATTATCAATACAAGGTTCGGCAAGCAAGCAAAGAAATGTAAATTAAACAGAAAAAACTTATCCACATACATGTATCCACCCTAAAAAAAAACCACCAAAAAACGCCTGAAACTGCAAAATCGAAACATAAATACACATGAGTGCCAAAGACGGCTGGTAGGTGCAAGTGCTCCCTTTCGCCGGTTTAAACAGAATTGATCACTTAAACATAATAATGTTGAAATTTTTAATCAACATCCACAGATGTGTACATAATACGGCAGTAATCATGGAACTTTCAATGTGACACATTCGAGGTGCCGTTCAATGAAAAGCGGGAACTAGATAACATGGAATTTTAAATTTATCAGAGGTTTTCTAACATTTCTCCCATCAGTAGTATATGCGTCACTTGAGCCCCAAGACTGCACACGTGCGGCGGTAAGACTGCACACGTGCGGCGGCCATCTTGTTTACACATATATAGTAATATATTTGCATATAAGCGATGTGAATATTGGTACATGTACGGCGGTTATTTTATTGAGTTATTTTTTAATATCCCATCGATGCACAGGTCCCAGATAAATTATTTATATGGTATATGTGACATGAAATATACTTTTACCCGGTTTTACGCAAATGACCGTCATTTACATATAACGGAATAAGCACACAAACGCAACATGTCATTTGGGAGGTTTTAGTTTTAATATACAAATTTAAATCTTTTATTAAAGTCGGTATTGGCCAATCTCTATCTTCATATTCCAAGTAATATTGAATTCAAAAATATGTATCGGAGCTAATTCATAACAACTCAGTTGAAATCAGCTTTAATTAATAAATGACACATTTTAATATACCGTAGGCTGTACGTGTGACAAGTACATTAAAATCAAATATGAATATATTACACCTTAAGGCTGAAACATTTAAATGATGTTTGCACCATGTTAGCCTTTTTAAACAATACTAAAAGTAATAAATCCTTAATAAATGACCCATTTTATATACCCATAGGCTACAACTATTATTTGCTGTTGTAAGCCGTATTTTAAATGTACATTAAAATTAAATATGAAAATTTTATGTCTATAACTAAAGATTTAAATGATGTTAACATGATGTAAGCCTCAAATTAAAAATACTATATAAAAGGTTCGACAGAAAAGCACACAAACTACATAAATACAAGGAATATACAAGTTTGTTAAAAAAATGTCTTACTCGGGTAAGTTACTTTATTATTTTAATCAGATTGATTTTAAAAAGTGTAAATTAAGAAAATAAACAATTTCCTGTATTTTATTATTATTATTTATATCAATATTTCAGGAAAATGGCTTAACTGTTCCAGAAAAGCGGAAGAAGAGAGAAGAAAAAATGAGGCTCTAAACGAAGTAAGCGAAAGGATCGTGTTTTTTAGATTCATATTTAATGGGTTTTTTTCTCATGTCGACTGGACAGGGACAATTTCTTATTGCAAATTTAAAAGTGTATGTGAAACTACCAAATAATAGACTTTTGTCTATAGCAAAAAGATTAAAAAAAATGCAATTAAAAAATCCTTCGAAACAATACAAAATAAATTACTCATATGTTGATGAAACCAATTTTGAACCAAAATCTTTTACTGCTCATTGTGCTCTTTTATGTTTGTTAAAGGTCTGGCATATAATTAACGTAATTTTTTATCAAAGATCCACGGAATTTAAAACTTTGTATATAGCTTTAGTTGATGTTGATTCAAGCTGGATCGGTCTCACACAGTTTAATCGTCACACCAAAACAGTACAAATTAACGTAAACTATAAAAAATGTGTATGTATAGAACAAATTTATTTTAGTTCTTTTACAAGAATTTACGCAGTATGTTATTAGGGCCCATCAGAAAGGGACCATTGAATTTGACCTTTTTATCAACTTTTTGCTGCTCTTTTGACTATTTTTTTACACCAACAAGACATACATTTTTTGAACAAAAAACAATTTAAATTCTTTACGAAATAGCAGCCGTGACAAAATGACTGTGTGATGACTTTTCTATAAAAAAAACAACACTTTTTGCGCTTGACGCTATAAAAAAAAAATGCATATGTTAAATTTAAATTGTATATGTTAGACCTTTAACAAACATAAAAGAGCACAATGATTTTACCTTTTTAATGTGCTACTTTAGACTGTTGCCTGTCAAATTTACACAAGGAAATAGACTTGAAAATAATGTTATTTGTAGTGGACGAGGGATGCTCAAAAATTACGGAATATTAAAAATAAAACAATAATTACATATATTACTATTATGTGCCGGGTGTGCGTTACCATGTTTTAAATATAGACAAAACTATTTGTGCTATAACATTTGTTTACAGGTAATGATTTTTGATTTAAAATTATTTAATTGACAGTCCGTTTAAGTTTTTGTATTAGGCCGTACCAATTTTTTGTGCGGTACTATCAATTTTACATACAAATTTTTAATGATAAACGTACTGAACAAGAACTTACTTATAAATATAACGTTTACTTCGTCAATTTTTTTTTGTTTTTATCCTTTTCTTTGAATATATTATATATTTTTTAATTTGTTTGTATTGTATTATGTATATTATGTAAATATTTGGGAAATAAATATGTTTAAACTTAATGTATAATAAATAAACATTGTATAAACGAACTGATTGTTTGTAAAGATATAATAAAATAAAAAAAAAATACTTTTTTGCGTCTATTTTTCGAAACTTCACAAAGGACATTGAACATAGTACCGTTACTGTCATAAAAATTCAATTCGCCATATGTAAACATATTAAAACTGCCATTAAATGTCATCTTAAAATGTAATAAACTTGTCCCAATGTACTGTGACCTTCTTGCGCTACTATTTTATTTGTTAAAGCAAATATTTCTTAGATATTTTAGTTCGTAAGATCTTTCGCGCTATTTTGTACTTATATTTTCGCAAGGTATTGAAGGTCATTAATGACATAGAAATAAAATAAGAGCGAACGAGTTACTTAGCTCATTTTTATTTTAGAATTCTAACAAGAAACATGGAAAACACCTTTGAAGTCCGTATTTGAGACTTTGATAAATACTTTTACTGATGAAAGTCAGCTGATGAATTTTGCGGCAACGTGGGGGATACAGATTCCCCGGGTGCGGTTTCGACTATTTCAGTTAAGGAACCCGCAAATATGGAGATAACTTTGTGATGAAGAACTGGAAAGTATACTTGAAAGTTTAGACGGTACATTACAGATCCAAGAAGACACGGAAAATTTAAATATGGAGCGGGAGAATGTAAGAGAGCAAGAGGAGATTGAAGGTGCAGCAAACGCCTTATTATTTGATGAAGAAATGGATAATTATGGCAACTGCCTGTGTGGAAGACGGGGAGTGGAGCCCCAGTTCCCAATAATACAAGAAGTGGGTGGGGATGATCCTCAACCGGGACCGTTCTTATAGACCTGACAACCCGAGAGAGCTTAAGTATACGATAAGGAAAAAATCAGAAAGGACATACGCAACAAAAGCAGCGGTGGATCGAGGACATTTCGAGTGAAAGTGGATGAGCAGCATTATGGCCTTCGGCTACAGGATGTGAGGCGAGGTCTTCACCAAATGTTTGAAGACGTGTTGGAAGAACCCCGTGACAATTTGGCGGGGAACGATCTTGGCCGTGTTGTCATTCATCATCAAGGATTACACGACCCCATTATAGTTCCCCTTCAGCCCTTGGACCAGTTGAACGCCAATAAAATCATGGAAATTATTGAAAAAGTACTCAACAGTAACCAAAACTTATCAATCGATGATAGTTTTTATATCTCTATAGGCACTGTCGAATTACCAAAAGGAGGAGCACGGCGAAGAATCACCAAATTAAAAGGAAAAAACAATTCATTAAAATTAAAAACGTCTATAGTGACCATTGAAAATAATGACCAACTGTGCATGGCTAGAGCAATTGGTGTTAGTTGGGCGAAATTAAATAGATGTTCGTTAGAAGAATGGAAAGAAATTGCTAAAAACCGTCAAAAGAAGTCTAATTTACAGCTTATTTTAGAACATCAGCAAGTGCCAGAGAGTTATTATAAAAAACAAGGGAAAAGATAAGAAATGAACAAAGACAACTAGCGGTAGCCATTAGTCAACTAGCCGGAGTACCTTTAGATCGTCCCGCCAGTTTAGATGATGTGGAGGCGTTTGAAAAAGTGTTGGGAGTGCGCGTAATGGTCGTTAGCGCCAGACTAGGTAACAAGTTTATTACCAGCCCTAGTAAGGACAAACGTCCATGTATTTACCTGTACCTCGTGGACGACGACCACTTTCACGCCATTACCAACATTACTGGCTTTTTTAGCGCAATATATTTCTGCGACCAATGTCCCAAACACTACGATCACAGAGAAAATCATCAGTGTGAAAACCTCCTGTATCGTGTGTAAAACGGATAAATGCCCCGAAACAGACATAACAGTCAAGTGCCCAAAACTGTAACATGATTTGCAGATCAGACAAATGTTTGAAACAACATAAAAACGGTACCAGTATATAAAAAAGGAAAATGTAAAGGAAAACCTAGCGGACTATCACAGTGTCAAAAAATATTGGAAATGCCCTACCTGTTATAAAGTATTAAGAACCGATAGAAGGAAAAAAGAAGATCATCAGTGCGGAGAATACCTATGTACGTCATGCGAAACAATATGTAATGGAAGGACATTTATGTTATTTAAGAGCAACACCAGCCAAGGAACATTATAATTCTAAATTCATTTTTTTTTTTATTTTGAATGTTGCGCAAGACGAATTGTTAGAGTGTGAAAATGGATATGTACCAAATAGACAAAGCAATTGTAAAGACTGTCAATCACAAGAGTTATGTAACTCTTGCTCTAAATGTCAACACTGTAAATCATCTTGGTGCGGTAAAGCCACTCATCGTCCCAATTTTGTAGTAGCACATACTGTGTGTCCAAAATGTATCGATGAACCCTTGACCCCCGAACCTTTATGTAAAAAATGCGGTACACGGTGCGACGAATGTGACAACTCTGATTTACACGACAATGAAGATCCTGGACCGTGTCCTCAGAAATGTGGATTCAGAGAAGTCACGTTTGAAGGGGACAATACCGCCGAAAAATTTGGTGAATGGGTGTTTTCCCCTCAGCACGAATATTTCAAAGTGTTTGCTCATAATATGAAAGGTTACGACGGCTATTTTCTTTTAGAGTATTTAATAGACCAATCCTTAAGACCAGACAAGATGATTTACAGTGGCTCCAAAATTATGTATATGGCAATAGAGTCAGATTTACATATCAAAGTGATTGACAGTCTCAACTTTTTACCTATGAAATTATCAGCCCTCCCTAAAGCTTTTGGATTGACTGAATTAAAGAAAGGTTGGTTTCCCCATTACTTTAACACTAGCGATAATCAAACTTATGTAGGCCCGTACCCAGATGCTAAGAAATATGGTCATAATTTTATGAGTGAGAAAGAGAGAGCCGAATTGCTAGTGTGGTTGAATGAGAGAAAAGACGACGTGTTCAATTTTAGAAAAGAAATGTTAGATTATTGTAGGAGTGACGTACAAATTTTAAGACAAGCGTGTTTGAAATTTAGAGAGTTGTTAATGAGCGCTACGGGTGAAAGAATAGAGGTGGTAAATGAAAAAGGAAAGAAAGAACAAAAGTGGGTGGGGGCCGTGGATCCATTCGATTCCGTGACAATAGCTTCAGTCTGTATGAATGTTTTTAGAACTAAATTTTTAGAAGAAGAATGGAAAGTTAAATTTCAAGGTAGTGATGATTGGATACCTTCAAAATTAATAGACGGAAAGCTTTATGTATTGGGCGGAAACGAATGGATTTTACAAACCAAACTCACGGGTGTGAAAGTCAGCGAGACAGAGTTTGTAAGGACACCAATAGCGAAAATTCCTCCGACTGGCTATAATGATCAATATAGTGAAGCGTCCATACAATGGTTAGAATATATGGCGTGTACAAAAAACGTCAAAATACAACACGCTTTAAATAAGGGAGAAAAATCCCTACCCGGAACACGTTACAAATTAGACGGTTACTGCGAGGAAACAAACACTGCATATGAGTTTAACGGATGTGTGTTTCATGCCTGTTTAGTCTGTTTCCCAGATAACCGAGAAGAAACGCGCCATCCACTTACCAAGCAATCGTTTAATGAACTGTACGCGTTAACGATGAAAAAGAAAGCTTACATCGAACAGCTAGGTATGAAATACGTTTGCATTTGGGAACACGAATTCAAAAAACAAAAAAGTCAAAATCCTGAACTGAAACAATTTGTCGAAAGTTTAGATCTAATTGATAGGTTAGACCCGAGGGAAAGTTTTTTCGGGGGTCGCACCAATGCCAGTCAACTCTATTACAAAACGAAAGAACGGGCACAAATCAGGTACGTGGATTTCACGAGCTTGTATCCGTGGGTGAATAAGTATTGTCAGTATCCCGAAGGACATCCAACCGTCATAACCAAAGATTTTAAAGACATGAAGGATTATTTCGGTATAGCTAAGGTTAAAATATTACCACCTAGGGGATTATACCATCCCGTGTTACCATATAAGTCAAATAATAAGTTAAAATTTCCGCTATGTAGAACCTGTGCCGATACTGAAAATCCGCACGCATGCGCATGTTCAGAACAAGAAAGAGAGTTGACTGGAACGTGGTGTACTCCGGAGATTCAAAAAGCCATTAAATTAGGTTATCAAATTAAAAAGATATACGAAGTATACCACTGGGAAAAATCGACGCAATATGACCCAAAAACGGGATCAGGGGGACTGTTTGCCAATTACATAAACACATTTTTAAAATTCAAACAAGAAGCTAGCGGCTTTCCTGACTGGATAAATAATGAACAAGATAGGACAGATTACGTGTCTCAGTACTTACAAAAAGAGGGAGTTTTATTGTGTCGGGCAAACATCTCGAAGAACCCGGGTTTGAGAGCTCTGGCTAAATTATGCCTCAACAGTTTTTGGGGCAAGTTTGGTCAGAGACTAAATATGCGCCAGACAGAGTTCTTTCACGAAGTACAGGCCAACCTTTTCTTTCAGTTGTTTTGCCGATCCAACAAAAGAACCTCTAAATTTTCACATACTTACCAATGATATGATACAAATAGAATGGCAATATAAACAAGACTGTCAACCCGAAGATAATAAAACGAACATTTACTTAGCTACGTTTACAACATGCTGGGCAAGACTTAAACTCTACAGTGTGCTCGAAAAGCTCGATAAACGAGTGCTGTATTACGATACGGACAGCGTCATTTATGTGAGTCGACCCGGACAGTACGATCCACCATTAGGAGATTACTTGGGTGAACTTACGGATGAGCTAAGTGGAGGGGAGCACATTGTAGAATTTGTGTCTGGAGGTCCTAAAAATTATGCCTATAGAACCAACAAAAACAACGAAACTTGTAAAGTTAGGGGTTTCACATTAAATTATTCAAACAGTCAACTTATCAATTTTGAAAGTGTGAAAGATATAGTAACAGAACCACAAAAAAATTCAAATATCGTGATAACAAACCCAAGTAAAATTTGTAGAGATAAAAGAAAAGAAAATTGTACAATAGGGAAAAAAAGAAAAGTTATCAAATGGTGTATACCAAGCGTAGAAAACTGGACAATTATGATACAGTACCTTATGGATATTAGAAGAAATTATTTTTATTGTAAATATTTGTTTTTATTGTTTCGTTTTTTGTCGCACGCGTTATTAAAGTGTAATTGTTATTTCAATTTTTGTCACTACTGATTAAAAAAGTGTTACGTATATTTCAAAAAGTGTCACTGCTGATTCAAAAAGTGTTACGCATTTTCCTTTTTTTGCACGTTTACATGTATTTTTCCATAGGGTATGTTTCAAAAAGTGTCACTGCTGTGTCAAAAAGTGTCACTGCTAATTCAAAAAGTGTTACTGCTGTGTCAAAAAGTGTCACTGCTAATTTAAAAAGTGTCACTGCTGTGTGAAAAAGTGTCATTACTGTTTCAAAAAGTGTAACTACTTTTTTTTAATATGTGTCACGTATGTGTCTGTTTTTTTGTTGTTTTTTTTTATCACATTAAAAAATGTATATAAATTATTGAATAAAAGTATGTAAGAATATACAGTCATGCTTATTTCATTCTATATATCGTAAGAATATGAACGAAGACAACTCCGAAGTACCCGAAAGGGACGCCTTTATTCAATTTTCAAAAGCGAATGAAGAAATAGACTCTAACGCTGAGAAATGGCATTTATTAGGACAACGAGTACCAAAGGCTGAAATTGTTTACTTTTGCCAAATGATCATTGTCTACATTATAATTATCGTCTCAATTATAAATTTATCCCTTCAAAACGGTTCGTCAGAACTTTGGATAAGTTTACTGAGCAGTTGCATAGGATACGCATTACCTAGCCCTAAGCTAAAGAAATAATAATGAAGTCATCTTTACCTTTCGAACCATGCTCCAGTATGTGTATAAGTGGACAAACAGGAAGCGGGAAAACGCAATGGGTGTACAAGTTTTTGCAAAATGTTAGAGATATGTATTCTAAAGATCCGCCATCACACATCTTATATTGTTATGGTATTTATCAGGATTTATTTGATGAAATGGAACGGTGCATTCCAAATTTCTACAGTAAACAAGGCCTCCCTTCAGCGGAAGAAATAGATGACTTTACCAAAGACAAAAGACATAAAGTGATTATTATCGATGATCTTATGCACGAAGTGATGAAAAACAAAGATATGGAGCTACTTTTTACACAAGGCTGCCACCACAAGAAAGTGTCTGTCATACTTATCACGCAAAACTTGTATCCAGGAGGTAAACATGCAAGAACAATTGCCCTAAATACGTGGTATATGGTACTGATGAAAAATTTAAGAGATGTTTCTCAGGTGGGAATATTGGGACGTCAGCTCTACCCCGGTAAAACGAAAGGATTTGTAAAAGCCTATGAAGACGCCTTAAGTACAAAACACGGTTATTTTTTGGTAGACATGAGTCCACATGCTGAAGATAAATACCGTCTAAGAACGCATATTTTTCCCGGCGAGGACCCCCTAGTTTATAAACTGACGTAAGAAGCAGTGTAAAACTTGTAAGAGTAACCATGGTTGAACTCATCCAACAGCAACGTCATTTTTTACATCTCATTAAAAGTACTACAACCGCGCAAAGAAAGGCATTGTTAAGTACAATTACTAAACAGCAGTTGAAAGCTCTTTCTCAAATTGCCTATAATATTCTGCGCTTTAAAATACGCCTTACACCTTCGGAGAAAGCTCAACTTAAACGTCAAAGACGCATTATTCATCTACTTGGAAACAGATCAATCGGTTTTAAACAAAAAAGGGAAGCCATTCAACATAAGCCTAGAGTGATCTACACCCTGGTGAAAATTACTTTCGCGTATTTGGAACCGGTATTGGCATAATGGAAAAGTTTATTTTGGTACCATACGAAAAATATCAACGCATGATGCAACCGAAAACCAAAGAGTTCGAAAAAGTAACGGAAGATGGGCCTACCAAAGTGTCATTGCCACCCCCGGGAGAACGGAAGAAATCAACTAAAAAGGCGGGAAAATCTCATACGAATAAAATAGATTGGATATCATTTTAAAACAAAAACGATGTTCTTTTTCATATATTTTTATTGCTATATACAAAATAAATGAATACAAAAAAATAAAATTTCAGAGTTTGTGTTTATTTACAACATTTTTATGCCCCCGCCATGTAATGGCCGGGGCATATAGTGTTACCCTGTTCCGTCCTTCCGTCCTTCCGTCATTCCGTCCTTCCGTCATTCCGTCATTCCGTCCTTTGTCATTCCGTCATTCTGTCATTCCGTCATCATCAGTTTCCGTTCATTATCTAAGTAACGGTTGCACACATTCAACTCAAATTTGACATATGGATATGTCATGAGAAAATATAGGTCAAGTTCGAATTTGGTCATGGTTCGATGATTTTTGGCAGAGTTATGCCCCTTTTACTTTGAAAATGATATGAAATTTTCAGTTTCCGTTCATTATCTCCCCAAAGGTACAACACATTCAACTCAAATTTGATATATGGATATGTCTTGAGAAAATACAGGTCAAGTTCGAATGTGGTCATGGTTCGATGATTTTTTGGCAGAGTTATGCCCCTTTCACTTTGAAAATAATATGAAATTTTCAGTTTCCATTCATTATCTCCCCAACGGTACAACACATTCAACTCAAACTTGACATATGGATACATCAAAGGAATGCGCAGGTCAAGTTCAAATTTGGTCGTGGTTCAATGATTTTTGGCAGAGTTATGCCCCTTTCACTTTGAAAAATAATATGAAATTTTCAGTTTCTATTTATTATCTCCCAACAGTACAACACATTCAACTCAAATTAAACATATGGATACGTTTTTGGAATGCCCAGGCCAAGTTTCGAATATGGTCATGGTTCAATGATTTTTTGGCAGAGTAATGCCCCCTTTACTTTGAAAATAATATGAAATTTACAGTTTCTGTTCATTATCTACCCCAACAGTGTTACATATTCAACTCAAATTTGACATATGGATATGTCAAAGGAATGGGTAGGTCAAGTTGGAATTTGGTCATGGTTCGATGATTTTTTGGCAGAGTTATGTCCCTTTCACTTTGAAAATAATATAGGATACATCTTAGGAATAAGCAGTTTAAGTTTGAATTTGGTCGTGGTTCAATGATTTTGGACAAAACTTATCTTTCTTGAATGTTGGAAAAATTTTGAACTTTCAGTTTCAGCACTCATACTTTTGTGGAAAGTTTGAATTTGGTCGTGGTTCAATGATTTTGGACAAACTTATCTTTCTTGAATGTCGGAAAAATTTTGAACTTTCAGTTTCAGCACATGTGGAAATGTATGTAGCCATTATTTTGGCTACAAATATGAAATATGCTATTTTCAAAAGGTTAAGACTAAATAATTTCAGTGCTTTGAACATTGTATGAAAATGGTTTGTGTTAACATTGAAAAGTTTTAAGGGCTTTGAACTGCAAATGAAAAAAATAATTTGTGCAAACAAATTTGGAACTAAATATTATAACATCTGAAATTTTGGCTGCATGCGGGGGCATCCGTGGCATGATGACACATTTCTAGTTAACATATATATCATTCCATTGTCTATTATACACATTAAAAGGTTTGACAATGTCTTTTATAGTCCTTCCTGTACATTTAGTTATGATATAATATACACAATACAGTCCGCAGGTATCTGATTTAGTGTCCTGAATAGGATCACACACCATCCAAAACTTGTTCGTTAATACGGTTTCAAAGCCCACATTGTAGTCGTTTGGTTTTTTTCCGAGAGAATCAAAAAACTCGTACGGTCCTTGTTTCGGAAAATAAAAGGTAACCCAATGTTTCCCTGGTCCATCACTCGTGTCTGTATTGGCGATAACGAATTTTCCTTTTTGTTTACGGATTTGATTAGCAGCGCACACCTGGACCGGGTATCCTTCGAGTAAACGTTCCAGTTCTAAATTATTCATTTCACGTAGACGGCCCGTGCTTTGTCAATATTGAGTACTTCTGGAAAGGTGGCGTACATAATCAGTGTGACACTCTCAGGTAAAGCCTCTGCAAACTTGAGTTCTAGCCGACAATGACCCCTCCTTTTCGTGTTAAATGAATAGTAAGGGTCAATATCTAGGGCATATAAGCAGTACCCTTTCTTATAATCTTGTTTTGAAATGTTCAAATCGCTTCTGTAGAGAGCTAATGATCTGTAACACTCAACATACTGATCAGCCGTATAATTAGGTTGCATCGGTTGGCTAGGTAAAGATTGCCCATCCACATAGAGTCCTACGAAGCTACAGTTGTAGTGTTTAAAGTTGAATGGATTTTGCGCGTAATCGCCATTAAACGCGGCACTCGGGACTAGACCTACAATTAGTTTACTGGGCACTAATCCTTGAAAGATATCGTCCGCGCTGTAACTGAATTGACCTGAAGCAATGGCTGTCGTTTTGATCTCTGTGCGTAAGTAAGGGTATACGGCTGGTGTGTCTTGAATTAGTTTTTCGTGCGCTATAAGTACGCTACTAGCTAGCCGTTGAATACATAGTTTAAAATAAGCGTCCACTATTTTAACTCGATATTCGGGATTGACGGTGTCTGTTATTAGTCTAAATGAGTCTCTGGTAGGATGGAGTTTTATACCTACAGAGACTCCGTTAATGAGTAGCTTCGACTGTTGAAACAAATCAATGTGTAATGGTCCTTCCATTTCTACAATTTTGCTACCTTTAGTCAGTGTGTATCTGAAAAATAGTCCACCATTACTTCCCGTTTTACCATCAATGGTACCAACGTCTCCGGTATCTTTATAAAAGAGTTGACTGGTAAGTAGGTTAATTTGCATATTTTCGTTGGACTGTAATATCGTGTCAATGTACGCTTTGTAGGGATAATTAATTCCGGTATGCGACAAAGGCGTTTGTTGGAGAGACACATCAACCTGACTAAAAACGGTGTGCAATGGTAAATTGGTTGGACCAACTACTTCGTCAGGGTCTACTGCACTTCCATCGCCTTTGACAATTTGCAGCTTTAGGTTGAGCACGCTTCTTTTTAGATCCAAGTACGCCGATGTATGACCGGGTATATTAAATTCGAGAGCGGATGCATTTGTCACTTGATTTACTGGACGGTATGTAATCCATTCTCTCGATTGTAATGACGTGTCTGCAGGGGGTGTAACGAACAAAGACAGCTCTTCCTGATGAAAATCTTCCATGTTTAAAATTGAAATTCTGGATTTAGTCTCTGTCGTTTAGATGGTTTGTTGGCGGATAACAAGGCCTTCTTACGCTTTTGGGGCCCCTTCTTACGCTTTTCGCCCTCTTCAACCTTCTTACGATTGACCTCTGACTTGGCTATTTCTATCGCTTGTGCTACGGGGGAAACCAGTTTTACCGAAGGTGACTGTTGCATTTCGGCCATTTTTCTAAGCTGATTTCCGCTACCTACAATGTAACGGCCTTTATGATCGGCTTTAACGTACCCGTCCCTCAAGTCCTTAAAATGTTGATACCATTTTTCAGGGTCGGGTACATAGGGTACCCATTTTTGTTGTTTGTGATCGTAGACTTCTATGGAGCCCATCTTTTTTTGAAATGTAATACACAATGAAGATCGTTAGAATTGAACTCAACTGAGTTTAAATCTTCGTCTCTCAAATATAAATGTAAAAAGTTGAAATGATTCACAGTCACTGGTACGTATACTGGGTGGCTATATTCTACAAATTGAAGTTTCTTGTATTTCGAACCGACTTCAATATTTCTAAGTACGGGTACTTGCGTGTTTCTTACGTAAGTTTGTTGTATCAGGTTGCAGCATAAATACAGTCTTTTACTTTTAGGCGTAAAGTCACAGGTCAAAGTAATTTCTGTCAAAGCGCAAATCCAATGTCCATCAAAGGTGTACGATTTGGGGAACTGAATACAAAAGTCTGCGGGGTTATTGTTCTTACGTATATCCTGAGAATCTTTACTACTAAGATAAAGGTAAAACTCTGACATGTTTTTTTTTTGCTTTCACAAATACATATTACCACTGTCTTCTTACGCTTTTTCAGTTGTTCGTATTTCGTCCATAATAGTGTCAACAAGATAGGACGGTCTTAACAATACGAATACGAACGAGTAACAACGTAATAACAACGATTTCTTTCTAGTCAGTGACACATTTTCAGAAGCTAGGGATCGTAGCAAATTTCGTCTTCTTTCAAGTAAATGAACATCTCTTCTCGGGGGATTAATTGTTCCATTCACCAATCTTTTGGCCACTTGCGCTATAGCCTTTACTTGACCCCCTGTCATATTAGTGATCATATTTTTTCTGGCAGATACAGTGGCATCTTTTAATTGGAGAAGAAAGTTGAGTTTACGGTACACTTGAGACTGGTTCATGGTTGATTTCTCTTAGCGCTCACTCTTTCTTACGTGTGTAAAGTTCCAGTTCAATGAGTACAGGGTAAACTACGCCATCTATTTGTGACAGGTTTTTAACACCAGTTATTACCACTTTGCCGCTGTAAAAACAACAAAAATGGACTCCTTCTCTTTTAAAATTTAGGGAGGGAAACAATTCGGGTTCGTACACGACCTGTCTTTCTTTGGCCAACAACTGTAGATCTAACGCGTCACTTAAGGTGTGACTAGCGGATATTGTTATCAATTTGACCTCCTTCAGCCGTACTGTGAAACCGAGACGCTGTATACGTCTTGCATATTGACGTAGTCTCTGACGTCCCTCTGTAATACTGGGTGCCTTTCCGTTGCAATCAAATACACCATTGGAGAAAACTAAGCAATTTCCGCCAATGGTTTTGTGTTGCCAAATCAATCCGGGAAATGTTTTTGGATCATAGCGAGCGTTTGCTATACGATAGCATAAATACCTCAAGTCAATGAAACAGCTCAAGTTAGCGCTGCACACGACGTTGGTTATTATCATGATGTGAAGTTTCGAATCTCAATATCATTAATGACAATTTATCTGGGGGGGGGGGTATATCTGTTTTATATACAATAATAATCACGTGACTTAAGAGTATTGTAACAGGTCCTTTTCTTGGATCCAGCTATCAAATTTCTTAGGCCAATGCAACCAACGTACAAGTACTTCCTTTCGTTTGTTTCGCGTCTTTTTCTTTAATATTTTTTCAACGTGGTATTCTGTATTTTCGTCCACACTAACTGCCTGCAATTCTTGTTCGTAAAACGTGCCATCAATTTTTTCTTCATTGGCCCAGTCATTTAAGGTATATACGCATACATTGTCTCGTTTGAAACGGCTTTGAATTTTGAATATTTCGCCAGTCCACTTCTGAGAGTACTCTCTGTCAAACACGCTTTTCACGTGCGATACTCGCACTGTCTGACCTAATTTAAACCTGTAGTGTTTGATCTTGTGTTTGGTTTGCCTGCCTTTGGTCCTAAGTAAATACTGTTGAAGTCTGCTTTCTTCTTCTGACTCTTTAGTAATGTTTATCGGTTTATCACCGAGACTTCTATGTATAGTTGAGTTATATGAAAGTACAATATTCCTGAGCACGTCAACGTAACGTTGGGTTCTGTTTTTTATCATATACCTAAACAGTTTATGCTTTAGCGTCTTAATACATATCTCCGCAAAATTAGCTTTTGTCTCCGTATTTAATGCGTAAAAATGATGAATGTCCATGTGTTGAAGATATTTATTGACCTGTTTACTTCTAAACTCCATACCTTTGTCTGTTCTCACCGTATTTGGTTTTCTAGGACCGGTTAAAATTCGCTCTAATGCATTAACAACATCGCCCCCTTTCTTGGTTTTGATAGGCTCACAATAGCCAAAGCGAGAAAAAATATCTATTGCCACTAAAACGTATTTATAACCGTCATTATGTTTGGCTAAGTCAACCATATCCATCAAGTCCATATCCCACTGGCTGTCTATTCCTTTTACAACGACGCGTGATCGAGGAAACTTCCTTCTGGCTCCTCTAGTCAGGGAATAAGCCTGCTGACTTTGAAGCCATTTTCGGATTTTATGCCTCCCAATTTTAAATTTTCCCTCAGACTTGATATATTGGTACAATTTTTCTACACCTGAATAACTCGCTGGATTGGATGTGTCAAAATACAAAGAAGACAAATATTGTTTCCAGTTAGACATGTTTATTATCAACAAATACAAATACACATTCTTACAAAATTATTACAAATTTATCCAAAACATATTACAATACAGTCGAGTACAAAGTATGTGTTCTGGTTTCTTCTATATAACGTTCTAAAATGTCAAGTAAATGTTCTACGGCTTCGCGATATTCTCGTCTAAATTGATAGTATCTCAGCCATATCCAAACCATACAGACAAGTGTTAACATATTCAATGCGTTTGATGGGTCGTGATAGCCTTATTATTGACAAACAAATTTGCTCCAGTTGTAGTTGAACTGAATCCTCCAAAGCCGCAAGGTGTTGGCCTAGTTGTTGATACAAACGCGCCAAATCCGCCTATTGGGGTCGGTTTTTGTTGAGGAGCGCCAACTATTCTTATATATTCGCAGTTTGGAGACCACTTATAATGTTCTCTCATTGCACAGTCCGACCTTTCCCAAGCACTCAATTTCACGTGACATCTAAAACATTCACACACGTCCGACTTCCCACTGTAAAACAGCCCCGCACTTGCCAGCTGGTATTTATCTGGTAACAGTTGTTTCGGATAGGTTTCAAACGTCTTCAGTCTGTTATCATAATATTCCATATTTTTGTTGAGGGGGGTGCAGTCAGTACCGTTCATCTTGTTTATGTCAAAGCTTCTTGGGGTATTCATTTATATACACACAATTTGATTTCTAATTGGATGTTATTTTTAGAATAAGGTTTTTGATCTATTTATAGACCTTTTGTCATTGCTATTTATAGTCAGGCGATTTTATCACAATCATTGGGGTTGCACTCCGGGCATTGTAGAGCTCCAATCTGGTTCATGTGATCACTTTGTAGATAGCAGGGCACCACTGCATCCAGTTCAGGTAACACTTTTCCTATCTGTGGAACCAGTTCCTTTAAACAGGAATACTCTTTCGGTCTTAAACATATACCCTTTTTAGTTGGTACTAATTCCTGTTCTGGCTTCCAGTACTGTCTAATGTCTACACATACGCTGTTGTCGGTGATATTACAGTAAACATTTCCTCCAACGTGAATCCAGTAGCTTAACTTGTTTTGTAAAGCCTGGTCCGCATATTGTAACTGATCTACCAAGTTTTTCCATCGCATTAATGTTAAGCTAATGCCCTTTTTCGTGGGTTTGTCATCCCGCCATTCTCTAATATCGACTCTAAGCTCGCCTTTCCATTCATTAACTTGAACATATCTCTGATTACCGATACTGAACTTGCATCTGAAGCTAGTCATGTTTATTGGTCGAGTATCAAAACTCTTATTATCAGAGCTAATGTCTCACTTTCTTATATACAACAAGGTCTCTCCTAATTGGTCAATTTCTGTATGCGCTTTAATTGGTTGTACATTTTGGAGTCATTTTGCAATTTGAGAAAGATTGGAAAATAAGTCAATAAAATAACCGCCGCACATGTACCAATATTCGCATTGTATGCAAATATATTACTATGTATGGAAACAAGATGGCCGCCGCACGTGTGCAGTCTTACCGCCGCACGTGTGCAGTCTTGGGGCTCAAGTGACGCATATACTACTCCCATCTGTCTTACATTGTTATGCTATTCAACGTCTAAATAACGGTCACTAATTTTTCGCTTGCTGCGTTTTTATCATAAACCCCGTCATATCTGTGCGACAATTGTATTTTACTGAGGACTGTCTGAATTAATTCCATTTTATAGTTTGAAATTATAAGATTTTTTTCTTCAGAATTTTAAGGTTATTTTGGTTGTTTTGAACTTCTTCCCCTACACAACCGTCCTCAATTTCTTTTAAAGATAAAACAACTAGAAATTGATATGGAGTGTAATATAAATTGAAATTCTTCTTTGCTTCATCATATATAGTATAATTATAATTCATTAAGATGAACTACAATTACATTGTATTTTCGTATGTGGGAATCATGGCAGGACTATAAAATAAAAAAGGTAGTCCAGAAATTTCACCTAATGATCACAGATGTTAAAAAATCCAAACTTAATAATATCTAATTTGACAATTTAAAACGGGACTTAAATTGCAGTATGATCTGACATCGGACATCATAAACTATTTAATTTCTAAGTAAGGTTATCAGAATTTCCTTTTCACATTCTTTTTGTTAATGCTGAAATATTTGTGTGTGAATAAAAGAGTTATTCCTGCAATAATTCATATAAATAACATAAACAAATTGTTATTAAAGCTTGGCAAATACAATCGATTGCCGCCGATACCTGTGTTACACCATGGAATTTACAATTTTACTATGACACCGCTTTCCAATATGGCCGCTTTCAATAATTTTCAACGATTAAAAAATTAAAGTGGAATATTTAGACTTCTGTTCGACTTTGAAGTATGATAATTTGGAACCTTGCATAAAAAACGATTCTCTTTCAGGTAATGTAGACCGTTTCTTTAAAACTTTTCTAGTTTTCGCTCCCAACAACTTCTAATTGGGAAGCGTCCGTGCATAAAAATGCAGTTCGTGGTTGGACTTGGAAAAAGACAGCGCCCGTCCAAAATTATCTCGGTGTCTCTTTGACAAGTCTAATTGGTTGGACTAGTGTCCAATATATTAGACGTAACAGGCTTGTTATAGTTTATGTCGGTCAAGCCTGACGTCTAATAGTTATTGCTCAAAAACGCATAGCATCATAGAAAATTTTAAAAATGCCTATTGTCTTGCCTTTCAAGCTGTATTCAAAAGCTTATCTTCTTTTCTTCAATTTCATGCTCAATAATACACAAAAACTCTCAAGCAATGTACTTATCAATTTAAAAAAAATATAAACATCAATCTATTTTTGTCTATCAAGCAAGGTGCTTTACAGATTGATTCCAAATTTTTGAACGGAAAAATATATTCGAATACACTGACGGTGCATGGGCAATTATTTCGTTAAAAAAATATTCCGTTAGAATGTTCTGACTCAGTTAAACGCTTGCATTTGAATTAGCCAATTTCGCGCACTGTTATTACTGTAATTTTATTACATCATGGAGTTGTATGACTATTTATAATTTGCCATTTTGTAGTATTTTGTTTTTACATATTATTTGCCAGTTTGTATTATTTTGTATGTATGTACTGTTTTATGTTGTTACATGCCCATATGGGCCTTGACGTATTCAAATAAACCTTGAAACCTTGTATGTATCAGCTGTAAAAGGAATTTAAATACATGAGCGGATTTAATCATGATTTTTCGGATGTGACAGTTTAATTATTGACCTTTTCGAAAACCTAGCTAAACACCGTTTTCCTGTACGTTCCCGTTTTAGCTCTGGGGAATTACACCAAATGAAGTACATAACACAGTTACGAGATATGTCTATTTTTCTATCATTATTTAACCGTTTTAGGTGAAATAAATTGATGTTTTTGAAAATTATCAATATTTGTTTCATATCTATTGCAAATATCTATTGCAAATTATTTAAAAAAATAAATAGTTTATAATGAAAATCAATAAAATTCAAACAGACGTAGTGGAATCTTCCATATTAAATAAGGTTATTTTCTGCGTAAACTTGTGTATTTACTTTATTTTTTTATGGAATTATTTATACAATGATATTTAATTATTTTCTTATAAAGAAATAAGTGTTTTATTTCAGTTAAATTTAAAAAAAGGCCGAAAACATTGACTTCGCTATTACACTCCATTAGGTGAATTCCCCAGAGCTATGTACAGAAAGTACCGGAAAACGGCGTTTAGCTAGGTTTTCGAATTCGTGAATTTTGACAAAAGGTATTTATTTTTTAGTTTTGTTCATAAATAGGTCAAAATTAATGTAAATACACGCTGTCTTATAATTGTTTTTCGTTCCGCCCGATTTTCCGGCGGAACATGCTATGGGTTTTTGAGCAATTTCGATATGACGTTGCTTTACCCAGAAGCAAAAATATCTCAAAGCGACGTCATATTTATAGGACTAAGTCCCAGCATGCTCGTACAGACTGTTGACAGACTATTATCAAACTTACGCTACAATGTATAAATCGTTTTTGAACTATTGATGCTTCGGCTGTTCTACGTTTTACACTGTTTTGATTAAACAAATACATGTATGTTACATGTTTTTGATTAAACAAATACATGTTTGTTACATGTTTCCCTTCGTTTGTAGACAAATCTCAATAAATGATTAAATCAGGATTTGTCTGAATGTTAAGCATCGGTCCGTAAAATCTCTGTTTTTTGAGTCCGTTTTGTGACATTTTCTTCATTCACATTGCATGTTTTGGACACACCAGAACCCACGACGGAAAGAATATCTCGATGAAGACTGCATAGAAATCCAAAACAAAAATGGGTAATTTAGAGGAGGGTCAGGAGGGTAGAATCACATTTCGATTTTCTTAAAAAATGTACAAATGTATTGAATTTTATATAAATGTTTAAAAAGATGGAAACTTACCCTGCGATCGACCTATTTTTCCAGTCACATCTGGTGTTATGCTTCACATCTGGTGCAGCGGAAATTCACATATAATTTTTACCGATGCTCATTTTTGAGATACATATGGGGTTCCACCCCCGTGATATACAAGAAGAAGAATGAAACACCAGCTGTCGTAACAGACCGGAATATCTAGCTATCGGGTATCTGTAACTCAATCTGTGCGAAAGTCCGTCGGTCCTGGCTGAATTAAAATCATGCGGTCCGAGACAAATTTTCTTTCCGTCAGTCCTCATGTCCGAATAAAATTTCAAAAAGTTAAAAATATCAAAGCGCGGAGGAAGGTAGTCTAGTACTGGTGTAGCTCTCCAGGAACGATGGTTAGGAAACTACCCGCCTATATGACTGAAATACTGTTTGGAAAAGGCGTAAAATGAAACAAACTAACAAACAAATAAAAATATCAATGATCTGATTGAAAACAAGTTCCCGGTGATGCAAAGAATTTATTAAAGAAGATATTGACCAACCTTAGATCTATTTTGTACATAAGATTTACTAAAGATATTGTTCACATTAGTTGAGATGGAGGTATTTACCAGTGTGTGTTTGTCACATACAATGAATATTTTCTTATGGGAGGGGGTGTGTGGAGTGTATCTGGAAGGAAATAGCATAATGGTCTGATGATGAAGAGTTTTTGAAATTAAATTTCAAATCTTTTCAATCACTTTTATACAGTGTTTTCCATTTGGGACATACTACCCTTTTCCTGAATAAGCTTTTTCTCTGTTCAAACTCCGACTCTCCAACCCCAAGCTTACTCTGCTAATATACAAATGTACATCATATTCGTCAACTGCAAAAGTGCAGCAAAGATGGCTTAACACAATCAACGTGCTCTGTGCTCCTACTTGTTTGTGCTTGGGAGTCCAAGGACTCCTTCTTTGAAAATCCTAGTGAGAGCCCTGCTTAAGTTATTTCAATTGGTCAGCATCTTCTTATGTTTCTATATTGATGGTCACATTAATTTAAAGAAAGAAAATCATTTTTACATTCAACCGAGTTATTATAAAATAATGCTTGAAATGTCTGGGCCGGAAAAATATCGTCCGGGCCGGAAATAAACCTAAGGGTCTTGTACACATTAGGGAACGTGTTACAGTATCGCGTTTTCCGGTTACAGTATAGAATTTTAAAGATGGAGGATTTATTTATTTGTTGGAAGGACAGGTAGGAGATTTTAAATCCGGTCCATACTACAACTAGTTTAGTTTCTAAAAGATGTTTTTTTTGTGCTTTGCTGTGTAAGGAACAGAATCCGGTATCTAGTCATATATTTCTTCAGACCCTGCACCACAGATTTATCGTTATATTGTCTCATAAATATGTATATTTGACAGTTTGAAAATTTGAAATCGAGAGACCAACGCATTTTCTCCAAATTCGACTTTATTTATGCATGCCTAGAAAAAGTAAATCTGCAAAACATTAGTCCTTTATGTTAGGAAACGTTTTATAAAAGTAAATGACCAGTTGAACCTATTTTCTTGTTCGTTAAATGCGTTTGAAAAAATATAAGAATGTTACAGTATAGAGCGAGGTGATTTGTGCAGGGTTACACGCATAGTCCTAGCGATTTTTATCCAATTTTGTTACAGTTTATACCCAGATTTCGGTTACAGTTTAGACTTCGATATTTTCTATAGATTTACTAGGTAAAATGTATGAATGTTATATAGACTTTTAAATCTCTGTGAGTTCATAGGCCCGATGGCTATTCGTCCGTCTGTCGTACACATGTGTGTGCAATCTCATCCGCTGAGTAACTACTTGACTAAATGTGATGAAAAAAAAATGACTTTCTACCAATTAAGTTGTTCAAATGGTTTCGGTTGCAATCGGGGATACGAAAACCAAAACATAGATTTGAAAAAGGCAATGTTTAAAGACCCTACTCATCTCGAACCAAAAGCATTCAAATCAAATCATGATCATGGCGTCATTTCGAATGCTTCTTTGTTGAGTTA